TTCCCTTAAGAAAATATAATAACTTTCTATAATGAACTTTTTTTTCTTCCAGAACCGTCAGTTCGTTATAGAAAGAGCTGACTGTAATAGCATGTACCCGGCAGATCTGTCTGACTACCATTTTTTGAGGGCAACGCTAGGGTCGTTTTCTAATCAGTCTATGATCACGTGACGACGCAGCCATTCCTCTACTCAAATGCAAGACCCGATGGCAATCAGGGACGAAATTGACAAAAAAAAGATCTTCGGAAAATCTATTTTTATGTTATAAATCTTATAATAAATCATAAGAAAATGCAAAATTTTATTATTACACCTACTTTTATGTTTTATATTAAAAATGATTCTAAATAGATTTAAATAAAAAAAGTTCATTTAAAAAAATTGTCAATTTCGTCCCTTTTCCAGCACTATTTTCAATTGTTCGTAGCGCATTACACGGATTACATTGCAGATCAACGGATCTCTACTAAAGAATAATCTTAACGTTAATAATTATACATAAAATTTTATGTATTAAAAATTTTATTCTAATATTTTAATTGCATTTTTTTTTAAGAAAGTTTCAAACTGCGGAGTTGAGTTTTACATTCCTCCTCACTTATAATCTTACTTGCATATGGATCTTTATCATGGTCTTGTACACTTATCGGAAACGTTCAGCCAACATAACATAACAATCTGGAATTCCAAAATCGAATCCAGGTTTACATTTAAAAGGTGAACATTTCCCGTTAGCTATTTCTGTCATGATTATTCCTAAAGCGTAAATGTCAGACTTCTGTGAAAATTGTTTTCTTGCAAAACTTCCGGGGCAAGATAAGGCAAAATACCCATGACTTCACTTGTTTTCGAATACGAAGTGAGACCTAGGTCTGCAATATACGCATTATCGATATCGTCCTGCAAAATATTTTCACAGAATCAATTATTTCAATGTCAGAAACTATACAATGTAACAACTTAACTTTCCTTCTCCAATCCATTTTGAATACTTTTTTAAGATTGTTACTCAAAGATTGCTCAGCAACATATTCCAAAACCAAAACATATCTGTCATCATTATCTTTAGATATTCCATAACATTTCAAAAATGATGGATGAGCTTTTCCAATCTTACAATACACTTTCATCTCTTCAATAAAGTCTTTGCTATCTTTTGCTTTAGGTGTTTTAAGCACAACATACGTATTAAATTTTGACGACTTTTATCAAACCATTCCGCACGATATACTATAGCAAATCCACCTCTTCCGATTTCTTTAAT